GATAAAGATTAGAGTTGTTATTGATTTTTTTTTTACCTTAATTAACTTACTTTGATGATAAGTAAATTAACTTCATTACATTATGTGTTTACCCAAAAAAAGGGGGCCTTGTTATACCTAGTAGTAAGTAGTCCCGTTACCAACTGGTACGCACTTAGTAGTCCGTCCAAGTTGTCCTCCATGGATTTGACGAAGAAGAAGACAGCTTTCACGTCACACGTGAATATATTCCCATCTGAGTGACTTAGAATGGGAGGTAGTCGGCCCATGAGCATGCTCATGGCCGAACTCATCATAAGTGGTATGTTGGAGTCGTTAAGCAGACCAACATGCTGCTATCAACAAGTTACCACAAGGGAAACTTGTCGTCGAACGACAGAAGATAGCCTTGCTACAGCATCAAGACTCCCATCAGTCGATGGGCGGGCCGACGCACATGCGTCTTCCCTTGTACCTTGAAGATTGATATCTCAAGGTACAAGGGAACCGATGAAGATTACCTTTAAGATGAATCGTCGAGTTAGACGACGCCATCAGGGCCCGTCACATCGAGGGTGACGAGATGCAAGTCACCTTCGCCCTGTCAAATTTGACGGGACGAGCAAAGACTTGGGCCTTAGGGCTCAAGCTTCACGACCCAAACATGTTTGAGTCGTTGGGGATCTTGAAGTCTCGGCTTGAAGAGACTCACATTTGAGCCACCGAGAGCCGAGTTCAGAGCATGCTCTGCACTCTTGACGCTAGAGCAAGGTAAGCGTGACGTGTACGCTTATGCACAGCACCTACGCTACTTTGCGAGCAGCCTTACGGAAAACCCTGTTGATGAGCACACGCTCATCTACGTGTTCATCTATGTCCTTGTGGATGGGCCGGTAAAGACCTACATGTTCCAAGAGGACTTCCATACGCTGGAAAAGGCGATAGCGTATGCGGAACAAGAAGAATTCATCCTGAGACAGTCTCAGGCTAAGTCAAACTATCTTCCGACAAGACAACAGGAAACAGGAGGTCCCGAACCAATGGAACTCTGTTACACCGAGAGCGAGAACTCTCGCTCTCTGAATCACAAGCGAACGGCAAGATTCCATCGCTGTCAGAATATTGGACAATACGCTCATAAGTGTGGTGTCCCAAGCACCGCAACACGTCCAAAGACAGGACGTGATGACCATCGTTGGCCAAGGAAAAGTCCAAGTCAAGGGTCCGACCATGTCGCTAAGCCGCGACAGCAAGTCGGACCGTCAAAAAACGGACAGGGTCAGTAGGGCGGACAATCCTTCTGATCCAGCAACGTCAAGAGAATTTGCAGGACTATTGACGAAGATTGCTCCCAACACACAGTCGCTGTGTGTTACTGCCCCTAGTGACGAGGTGTCCCTCATCACTTTGAAGATCGAAGTGACAAGTGGAATGTCACTTCGCGCCCTAGTTGACTGCGGGGCGTCAAACATTTTTTTCGACGCCAGTCGCTAGGGGATAGTAGGCTCAACTATGTTGAGCGAGAGTCCCCTCCAACGAGGATGACGGTGTGCCTTGCCACAGGCGCATCCGTAACAGTGAACAAACGTGTAGTGGGAATCCACTACACGCTAGAATGGAAGCAGTACGATGATACCTTCATCGTACTAGATTTGGATGAAAAATTTGATGTCATCCTCGGTCTGCCATGGCCAAGAAAAATACCAGTCATGGATCAGCTGGCAGCATCGATCCGTGAAGATGCTCGCCGTTTGTTCATTAGATGGCCATCTGATGAACGTCTTGGATCGTCCACAAGCGTGTGGATGTACTAAGAGTGAGTGTGATGGCCTCACTTGTGGTACGGTCGTTAGTATGACTGCACAAGATCACAGTGTAGAAGGCCACTACGCTGTGGAACCAGCTTCCGGCACCTGCGAAGAGACACAGGCTGCGCCGAAGGTTCACCACTCGAAGAGATCGAGTGGACTGGAACACGGATGCACACCAAGAAGGGTGTATTTAAGAAGAGAGATTAGTGTTGTTCAAGGTGAAAAACACGTGAAGCGAGATCAACTATCAGAGAGTCGATCGAAGAGGAAGTGATTGTGGTAGTACAACCACAGTCAGTACACGTATTGGAAGAAGGTTCCAGCGTTCCTGAGAGGGATAACTCCCGAGAGAGTTATGTTGATGGTGTGGATCCCCGACCACCTGCGGATGTGTTTTCCCAGGAAATCATCGAGACAGTGAATGTCTTGGTGAATGACGGATCAAGTGTAGGCGCTTATACACTTGATCTGGTTACACCTCCGAAGTCATCTTCGGAGGTAGTCAAGTTGCCAACGCTAGAATCTAAAAGATTCTTGCGAGATCTGCGTAGTGACAAGATCAAGCAGATCCGCGTACTCGTCACAGAGGGCGAGCACGTCGCCGATATTTGGTCGGCTACAAGTGTTTGCTGAGAGCGAACGGGTTCTCAGTAGCTCATCGATGGACGAGAGTGTCCTAGATGAGAAGACCCGGATTGAGCGATACACGTCTCAATTTTGGGAGTCTTAGAAGACAAATCCTTTGTATAAGGATTGGTTGAATTCAGGGATGTTTTCCCGGAATCCGTGACACGCGAGTTGCCTAAGGATAATGGCACTCGGCATGAGATCGAACTGAAACCCGGTTCGAAATACTGTGTCATGAAGCAGTGGCCACTGCCTCGTGAACAGGCAACAGCGATCGACAAATTCTTGCCGATCGTTTAGCGGCTGGGCATGTGAGGGAATCAACATCCCCACACAGCTCTCCGACCTTCTGTGTGCGAAAAGCAACAGGAGGGTGGCGGATAGTGCACGCGTTCAAGAAACTGAACGCTGCAACGGTACCGGCTCAAACACCGATCCCAAGAAAGGATGTCATCATAGATGGTATGGCAAAGAGTACCATCTTTTGGTCCATGGATTTGATGGATGGATTCTATCAGAGCCTCATGCGTGAACGGGACATCCTACACAGCAGTGAGCACCCCCAGTGGTATGCTCTGGGAGTGGCTAGTGATGCTACAGGGGCTAAGTAACGTCCCCGCAACGTTTATTAGATGTGTTACGAACCTGTTGCGATTGGTACGCGATATCGCACCGAGTTACTTCGACAAAGTCTTCGTACATAGCCGGGCTATGGATGGAAAGACGGACGTGGAGGTTCATAGAATCCACGTCCGGAAGGTTCTTACACTAGTGCGAGAGCATAAGTTGTTCGTGAATCTCAAGAAGTGTATATTCGCAGCAAACGAAATACCACTTCTTGGCTGCATCGTGGGTAAAAACGGTGTACGCCCTGATCCGGAAAAGATCAAGGCGATTATCAACTGGCCTGTGCCAGTCGACGTTCAGAGGAATAAAAGTTCCTTGGATTGGCGGCGTACTTGCACAAATACTCGCGCAACTACGCCGAGATGACCGCACATCTCTCTCGTCTACTAAAGAAAAACGAGAGATGGTCATGGAGCGCTGAGTGTCAGCACTCTTTTGAAGGCATCGAGAAAAGCTTGATACAATCGCCTGTCTTGGCGATTGCGGACCAAAACAGACCATTCTATGTGGTCTGTGACGCCAGCGATTTTGCAATCGGCTGCGCGTTAATGCAGTAAGACTCAGACGGCGTTGAGTGCGTCGTCTGTTATCAATCGCGTCAGCTGCAAGCAGCTGAGCAAAATTATCCGGTGCCTGACAATGGACTCCTTGCCATGAAATATCTACTGGCCGAGTTTCGGGTATACCTCTTAGAAGATAGGCCTTTCATCGTTTATACCGACCATGCGTCGTCACGCACGGCCGTAAACAGTCCACACCTGTCGCAACGAATGGCGAGGTGGCTTTCTTTCTTTGCGGGGTACAACTTCTCCGTTGAGTATAAACCAGGACGGCTTCATGTTGTCGCTGATGCTCTTCGCGTCGGTCGCCCGATTTCGAGACGACTGCTCAACACAACAGTAGGGGTGGTCCCACTGTAGCAACACTAACAGTGAGTGTTCCGTCGTCGAATCTGCTCGACGACGTGCGAAAAGCATACACAGAAGATGAGTCTCTTTTCTGATAGATGGATTACGTTTCTATTCCATGTAGCCATGCTTTGAAAAGCTTGACGTATCAATACCGCTCTTCAACCGAACGGTATTCTGTTCTTGATGGACCGATGTACTATACAGCAGTCAACGGCGACACACCTCGTGTTGTCGTTTCTGCTCATCATGATTTGCGATTGTAAATCATGTATGACTGTCACGTTGCCCCAACAAGTGAGCATCGCGGTAGAAAAAAGACTTACCTCACGGTCATACGTGACTTCTACTGGCCTTGCCAGTGTGAGTTTGTGCGCAAATACATTCGCACTAGCAAAGGTTGCCAACGGGTGAAGCCTATTCCTTCATCCCGCGCACCCTTGCAGCCTCTTCCGATTCCGGCAGAGTGTTGGCAGTCCGTATCGATGGACTTCGTCTTTGGGTTTCCTAAAGACGTTCAAAAGAATATTATTATTCTTGTGTTTGAGGATCGGTTCAGCAAGATGGCACATCTTGTTGCTGTACCGGAGTCGATCACAGCCCAGGGATGTGCTCGTGTCTTCATCGATACTATCTTCCGACTTCACGGGTTACCCCATGAACTCGTGTCCGATGGGGACCCCCGCTTCACAGCGGAGTTCTGGCAATCCGTGTTCCATTCACTTGGAACAAGTTTAACGATGTTAACTTCTGACCATCCAGAAACAGATGGTCAGACGGAACGTGTCAACCGCATCCTCGAAGAGATACTTCGAGGGTATACCACCCGTATACGAGTTGGAATGAGTTCTAGCCGACGGCGCGATTTACCATCAACAACTCGGTGCATGCGTCGGCAACGCATACACCGTTCTTCGTGAATGGTCTACGCCATCCACGTTTACTCGCCTTCTTAGAGTGTGACGCTAGTTTAAAGGGGGAGTGGACTCGCTCGAACAGAACCCGATCTGGTTCTTGCTTATCACCCGTCGACAATGGTGTCGACGTGATGGATGCCGATGTCGTTGGGATCGATATCGATGATGACGATGGCGACGATGCTGTCATATTCAGCATCTCCAATGACTGCCACAGTGAGGACGATGACGCCCTCACTGGTGAAGACAACGTTCTTGCAGCAGTGCACACGAAGCGCACTGGTGTTGACAAGGATGAGCCATCAGAGGAATTTCTGCTGACTCGCGAAGCGGTTGTCCACTTCCGTTCAAGACTCTATTGCAGATGCACTAGACCGACAGAAGAGAAGACGTAGACAAACATGGAAGAGCAAATGTTCTTTCATTTAATAAAGAAAACTTAGTTTTTACTGTCAGCATTAAATATACAAAAAACACAGTGACAAACATGGGCAGCAGTTCATTACTGCCCAAGTACACCGGTCCATTTCGTGTGTTGTGCCGCATGGGCAACGCTTACACGATCGAACTGCCTTGTAGGATGCGTACGCATCCTACGTTTTCATGGACGTCTCCGCCCGTACTATCAGTACGAGCCCGTTTCGAGATGCGAAGAACACCTCCGCGGTCGAGAGCCGAGACCACCTTCGAGTGGTCCTGTTACAACGAGCCAGTCTGGTCGACTAGCGAAGCGACCTGTTCACGCAGTTCAGCGATGTCTCGACGAGCTACAGACAGCTCGTACGAAGAAAACGAGTCGAACGTTCGTTCTCAAATCGCGCGAACGCAAACTCGGCACGATCGTTCGAACGATCGTGCGCTAAGGAATTGTAATTATCCTTTACAAGGTCATGGATCACATAACGCCGAATCCATTCATGAGCCAAGTCATCGTGTAACTATTCCGTTACACGGTTCAGTTCCTGAACATCAAGCTGATCCGACCCTCGAGCCGGATCAGGTGTTCCCACCACCACCACATCCTTTGGTGGACTCAGGCAGTGGTCAACAATTTCTGGTGGGGGTAACCACCGCGATGTGAATGGCGTCCGGACGAGTTACTCTCGTCCGCTGGCGTGGCTATCCACCGGCGTAGCACAGCTGGAGCCTCTTGCCCAGCTGATTGTTGATGTCCTTGGTCACGTCGAGCAGTACGACGAGACCCATCCGCTGCGTTCTAAGAATGGCCGTCGGAAAAAGACCTCCCCGAACGCGAGTACAGGGATTGCAAAGTGTCAATCCTTTCGGCCATCTCAGAAGAGATGCGCGCCCTCCAGTAGGGATCATTAGGGAGGTAGGCCTCCATAGGGGCACGGTTCGAGTTGTCCAGGCAACCTGGACACGAATCACCGCACGAGAGACAGGGTAATCCTGCCTCTATTGAAAGCCAATGCAACTTGTATCGCGCCACGACTGGGTTGCGTTTTTCAAACCTGATGCGAGCTGCATCAAGTTTGGCGTGCCAGGCCTCACGGCCAATACACTCGATGTCATGGATGATGGCATTCCATCTTTGCACCAAGGCTTTGCCGTCTCGAACACGGCTACCATTGTACCACCGATGTTTGAAGAACGCATCGGTGAAGAATTCTTCCTCAGCACGGATAGTTTCCGTGCTGGAATTAGGTGGGCAAATCTTCCTGCGATCGAACAACGGGATTCGATCCCGTTCGGTAGTCATGCCGGCCAACCGGTCCAACTCTCTGGATGGCGGCATCCACGGACTCCACGTGGGGAGCGTGGCGCAAGACATTTCGGTCCCTGGCCTCTTTTCCTCTTGATTGGTGCCAGCATGAGCACTGATAATAGTGACAGCTTGATCCCTCGAGTTGCTTCTCTCGTGGTGATGTATAGGTGCATCACCACCATCCCCACGCGTTGTATCGGTGGATGGACTCGCGTGAGGCGAGGATTCATCGGAACAATCGCTCGATACGAAGATCTCGAGCATGATGCCGCCATGTTGACCAGAGCCAGTCAACCTGGCTCTTGCAGTGTCCGCCTCGTGTGATCCGGAAGTGTGAGGTGTCGTCTTCGAGTCGGATACATCATCTGACTCGCCGGAATAGATGAGCTCTACTTCAAACTCGTCTTGTTTACGACTCGTGGTACCCGCTGCAGACGCAACGGATGTACCTGTCGCACGTAGTGACTCACCACGTGGACTGTTCACAGCAGCAGGCGACGAATCACCTGCTGCTGAGGTGTGAGAAGTACTCTCTCCGGCTACACGCATGCGTGAAGCCGCCTTTCTTGCTGCTGAAGTAGCAACTCGCTTGGTTTTCGAAACCATGCGTTGTATTGGCAAATGAATGGAATTTGACCAACAAGTGCTCCCTTTCCCAAAGTAATCCAACGGTAATTACCCTGTCCCAATTAATTCTAGTTCAATCAACGGGTGATTGATGGTTAGGGGGATGATATAACGGGGTAGCCCGTTACATGAAATTGACACCAAACAGTGTCATTAAGAACAGTGTCTAGCATGACAATCCCCTGCCAATATTATCCGAGATGGATAATTTTGAAGGGATATTATCCCTTTTGGATAATACTCATGCGCCGCACCAAGAATGGTTGATAAAAGACATTCAACCATAGGTTGCCACCAATCGCTGCTAGACGCGCGCAATTAGTGGTGAGAAGGTTGTCGTCATACGAAGACGTAGTTTAACATAGTTAGATAAAGATTAGAGTTGTATTGATAGCTTAACTATATTGAATACAGTTCTCTTTTTACCCTCTAATCAACTTAGTTGATAAGTAGATTAGCTTCCTCTGCACGTACTAGTGTACGTGAAGTTTCGCGGCACCCCAAACAAAGGGTGCCCCGTTACATTGTAGGCGAAGTACGCTGGCAAGAATCTGGAAGCTGAGAGTTCACTGTAGACGCGCAAGGGTGGCCACTTGAATTCATTTACGCTGCCAAGTTTTGCACGGCTCGTCTCCCCCTTGGCTGCCTGTGCAGCTACCTCGGTCTACTTGAAGGTCATGCCAATAGCGATGAACTTAACACTCAGGCGGAAGAGCTCGGAACTCGAAACTGTCACAACATAAATACCATTGTCACTGTTCCAGTTGAAGACTCGCTTTGCATTTTCGAAATTGATGCCTTCAATGTCATTCGTGTTCGACTACATATCACCAATGATAACGTCGACAATATTAGCCTCCAGCTTATACTTAGTAGTCGACGAGACGGGGTTCAAGTAGGCCACAGTCTGATTAGCGAATGGCACTACTACATTGAAGTGGGCCTCTTTTTGGCAAGCTTTTAGGTTCTGGTACGCTGTCCACTCCTTTTGGTGCTCACGCTGCAGATGTATCGGGTAATTCTCAGACCTAAACGGCGGCTACAATTTCTTGACAATTTCTTTTTTCTGACGCTTCTGGCCTGAAACCTCTTCACGACCGAACGTGATGCAAATTCTGCACAATGTGGATGTGACAAAATGTGACCAAGGGTCGACCGCATCGACTTGCAGTTCATACTTCACATCGTGCTTTGTTTGGAATGGTGTTGAGCATGATTTAGTTGACTTTCCGCGCTTCTTGCTCTCCAGATTAAAACACTCCTTAGACACGAGACTCGGTTCAATTCGGTCCATTTGTCGGCGAGCTTGCAGAGGCACAAGCTGACAGACTGGAGTCTAGGGGTAAAGTAGTGACCATTTGTAGTTTGTGGAGCAGGTGGGGAGAGGTGGGATGGACATGAGTGTAACAGGGCACCCTGAAGCTTGTACTGGTGACAGTACAAGCTACTTATTCTGATGACAGAATAAGGCGGTGCCTCGTAACTTCACGTACACTCGTACGTGCAGAGGAAGACGGTAAGAAGAAGCGAGTACTTGGTTAAAGTAAAAGTAGAACTGTATTTATAATAGTTTATTTTTTTAATAATATCTAAAATTTTTTATATAAATATATTTTATATATAATATTAAATCTATTTGTTTTCTGTGCTCCTCTTTGTGTGTGTTTTTTGGCTGGGTCTGTTGGTCTATTGAGATTTTTTTGTTTTACATCAAATATTAAATAATATGTGTTATATTATAAATTTCTTTATTATATAAAAAAATATATATTTATAAAAAAAAATTTTTTATATTAAAATTTTTAAAAAATTTTTCTTAAATAACTCCCCTCCCATCAAACCCCTAAATCACCCCCTAATTTTCTCACTCTGTTATCATGCCAAATCTTTAGTGAGTGGGTCCCCATCCGTTTGGGGGGGGCCGTTGCCGCTCCTCTTCCCCCATTCACCCTCCCACACCACCCCAAACCCCCCCACCCCCCCCGCGAACCCCCCGCGGCCCCCAGCCCGGCCCCCCCGCCCCCGCCCCGCCCCCAAACAAAAACAAAACCAAGCTACTCCCGTCCCTCGGGTGCGCGCCCGGGCGCGGCCGGCGTGGGGTGGGGGGGGGCCCGGGCCGGGCCCCCAGCGCGTGTCCTCAGTGTAGTCACTCGCTCGGTCCTCGTCGCCCGGGCCCGCGGGGCCGGGCCCCCGGCCCGGCGCCCCACCCACCCCGCCCCGCGCGGGGGGGCGCGGCCGCTCCTTTGCGTGCTGTCTTCTTGGTTCATCTGATCAAATCCGAAACCCCCCCGCCCGAGCGAGGGCGCCCCCCGGGGGGGCGCCGCCCGCGGTGGGGGGTGTTGTCCTCCCGACACCCCCCCACACCGGGGGGGCCGGCTCTCCTGCCGGCCCCCCCGGGGAGGGGGGGCCCCCCAATGTTTGGGTCCCCCCCCCGAGGAAGAAGGCATGGATGCCTCCAAAATCCATCATGGATCACTTGTCGGCGACGACGAGTGATCGTTATCGAACACGATTGTTCGATTCGTCAAGGATCCATCACCTTGACCCCAGCGCGAAAAACTATCGCGCTGAACATGATTTCTTCATCGATGCTTTCTTTTAACATCGATGGTACAGTGGGAATCACAAACGTGATGGTCCCTCACTACTTCAGGCGTGGAACGCCTACATCCATAACCTCGAGGATGTAGGTCGTGACGCTTGGAACGACAAACTTATCAAAGCTCGTGATAAGTTTGAAAAGCGAACCCCGACAGGTGCACGCTACAAGCTGCATCGTCTGTCAAGGGAGAAAGGATTACCCTGCCTCTCTTGGGGAGACTCGTGCCCATGTTGTGTGAACAACTCTGCACGAGCACCTAAGGAGGCTTACCTCCTTACCAGCCCGTGGTGGCGCGTACGTATCTCTATTGAGATGTACGAAGGGATTGACAACCTGAAATCCCTTTACGACCGTGCCGGGAAGACTTTCTCCGGCGGTCCTTCTGCGGCACAGGATGTGCCGCGTCGTACTGCTCGACCAGACCCAGTACGTCAATCATCAGTTGGGAGCGGGGCTCCCAAGAATCACAGGACGGGGGATAGCCGCGCCACCGGACGAGATAACTCGTCCGACGTCCGTTCACGTCGCGGGGGTTCAACAGCTGCTCAACTAGATAGCGCTGGCCACCGCGAGAGTCCTCTAATGGAGGTGGAGGAGGAGGAAAGACGCTCTCCACACGATCATGTGGATCGGTGTGTTCCCGAGAGCTTCTTTGATCGCGTAACGCAAGGGTTACGCGGCGATCTCGAACATGAGCGGAATAGGCGTCTCCAAATGGCGGACACTGCCTCGAAGCATCAAGCTGAGTTTGCCTTTGCTCAGCTTGAGAACGAGAGATCTCTGACATCTCTTCGTGACGAGCTAAGGGTAGCTCGTGGGATTGCTGATCGGTCTCGGGATGAGATAGCTGCTCTTCAGACCCTTGTTGATGCCCACCATCGGGAGCACAAGGCTCTCTGCGAGATGCTTGAGCGCAAGGGCGTTCTTCATCGGAAGAAGCAGCGTACTGATGGTACGGCTTAAGCCGACCAACGTAAAACGTGGGATGCGTTCGCATCTTACGTGGTAGCTCGATCGTGTATGCATTGCCTAGGCGGTGCAATACACGAAATGGGCCAATGTACTTGGGTAGTAGTTTACTGCTACCCAAGTTATTCACTACATTGGTTTGGTAGATTAACCGTAGACAGTAGGACTAAGTCACCTTTATTAAATAAAAGAGTGTTTGCCCTTCCATTCTTGTCAGCGTTTTGCTTTTGCTTATCCACCGCTTCGGCGATGGAGTCTTGCACAAAACGGACTACCGTTTCACGAGCCAGTATGAACTCATCTGATGACTCGTTAGCTTCAGTGTGCTGTGAGCGCACTGCAGCAACATCAACCTTCTCTTCAGTGAGGGCTTCCTCGCTCTCACTGTCATCATCATCTTCGATATCGATGTTGTCGATATCGGCGTCAAACGCAATGACCTCTTTGTCAGAGCGTGATGAGCGTGAACCAAATCGGTTTTTGCTCGCGCGAGTCCCTCCCCCCCTTAAACCAGAGTTCCACTCTAGTAAGGTGGGTACACGCGGATGGCGCAAGCCATTCACGTAAAACGGTGTATGTGTCGTGGACGCATGCACCGAGTTGTTGATGGCAAACTCTACCATTGGCAAAAACTCACTCCAACTCTTAAAGGAGTGTACGTATCCTCGAAGTATCTCTTCAAGGACACGATTGGCACGTTCCGTCTGACCATCTGACTCTGGATGATCAGATGTCGACATCTTCAAGCGCGTTCCGAGTGATTTGAACACGGAACGCCAGAAATCAGCAGTGAATCGTGGATCTCTGTCTGATACGAGTTCACGGGGCAACCCATGAAGTCGGAAGATGGTGTCAATAAAGATACAAGCACAGCCACTTGCTGTGATTGACTCTGGTACAGCCACTAGGTGTACCATTTTGCTGAATCTGTCAACAAATACGAGAATACCCGTATTCCCGCGTGCGTCTTTGGGTAACCCGAAGACGAAATCCATTGAGATGGATTCCCAGCACTCAGCCGGAACCGGTAGAGGCTGTAAAGGTGCACGTAGTGAAGGACTTGACTTCACTCGTTGACAGACTTCGCACGCGCGAATGTACTTTCGCACAAACTGATACTGGCGGGGCCAGTAAAAGTCTCGACTCACCGTGAGATATGTTTTCTCACGGCCACGATGTCCTCCTATAGGAGCATCGTGATACTCGAACATGATCCGCAAACGCAGATCAGTATCATCTGGAATGACAACACGTGGTGTGTCACCAGAAACGGCTGTATAGTACAGCAACCCGTTACGAGTAGTGTATCGATCTGATGCAGATCGATACGCAGACGACAATCGTTTCAACGATTCTCGAGATGGTTGGGAGAGATGTGTCAACAACTTCACAATCTCACCATCTTGGGCGTATGCCCGCCTCACATCATCGTACAACGTTGTAGATGGGACTGAGGACGTCATAACCGCAACAGTGACTGCCTCACTGTTGGGTTTCGCGACTGTTTCAAAGTCGGGACGACGTGAGAGTGCATCAGCGACGACGTTAAGTCGTCCTGGCTTGTACTCAACCGTAGAGTTGTATTCTGCAAAGAATGACAACCACCGCGCCATTCGTTGTGAAAGGTGCGGGCTGTTTACTGCCGTGCGTAATGACGCATGGTCAGTGTAAACAATGAAGGGTCTATCTCCTAATAGATAGAATCTGAGCTTCGCGAGTGCATACTCCATGGCAAGGAGTTTCTTGTCATACAATGGATATTTCCGCTCAGCTGGTTGCTGCTGACGCGACTGATAGCAGACGACGCGTTCAACACCTTCAAGATCGTACTGCATTAATGCACAGCCGGTTGCGAAATCGCTGGCATCACAGACCACATGAAATGGCCTGTCCTGATCGGCTATTGCTAGGACTGGGGATTGTATCAAGCTCTGCTTGATACCATCAAAGGAGCGCTGACATTCAGCGTTCCATAAACGCCTCTCGTTCTTTTTCAACAAACGAGAGAGGTGTACAGTCATCTCGGCGTAATTGCGTGAATACTCATGCAAATACGCCGCTAGCCCATGGAATTTTCGAAGACCTTTGACATCAACTGGCACAGGCCAGTCGGTGATCGCCTTGATCTTTTCGGGATCAGGACGTACATCGTTCTTACCAACGGTGCACCCAAGAAGTGGTATTTCGCTTGCGGCAAATATACACTTCTTGAGGTTTGCATACAATTGATGCTTTCGCAAGATTGTAAGAACCTGTCGGACGTGGTACCTGTGAACCTCAACGTCCGACTTTCCATCCATAGCTCGACTATGGATGAATACGTCATCGAAATAACTCGGCGCGAATTCTCGTACTGGTCTCAACAGATGTGATACACATCTGTTGAACGTGGCAGGGGCATTACTGAGCCCTTGTGGCATAACTAGCCATTCCCAGAGCATGCCGCTAGGCGTGCTAACTGCGGTATAGGGTATATCCCGTTCCCGCATGAGGCTCTGATAGAATCCATCCATCAAATCCATGGACGAAAAGATGGTACTCTTTGACATACCATCAATGATTACGTCCTTCCTCGGTATCGGCGTCTGAGCCGGTACCGTTGCAGCGTTCAATTTGTTGAACGCGTGCACTATCCGCCACCCTCCTGTTGCTTTTCGCACACAGAAGGTCGGAGAGCTATGTGGGGAAGTTGATTCCCTCACATGGCCTCGCAGCTAAACGATCGGCAAAGAACTTGTCGATCGCAAGTACTTGTTCACGAGGCAGTGGCCACTGCTTCATGACACAGTACTTCGAGCCTGGTTTAAGCTCGACCTCGTGTCGAATACCTTTATCCTTCGGTAATTCGCACGGAACAGTTTCAGGGAATACATCCTTGAATTCAACCAAATCTTCATAGAGAGGATTTTTCTTGAGCGATTCCCATGATTGGGAGTCATATCGCTCAATTCGTGTCTTTTCATCTAGGACACTCTCGTCCATAGATGAACTACTGAGAACTCTCTCGTTCTCCGTAAACACTGTTGCTGACCTTATGTCGGTTACACACTCGTCGTCAGCGACGAGTATGCAGATCTGCTTGACTTTGCCACTACGCAGATCACGCAAGAACCTTTTATGTTCGAGCGTTGGCAACTGAGTGATCTCCGAAGTTAACTTCGGAGGCGCAATCAGATCAAGTGTATAAGCGCCTACACTTGATCCGTTATTGACTATGACATTCAATGTCTCTGTCATTTCCTGGGGACTTATTCCCTCAGGCTTCGAAGGATTTATTCCTTCGTCTTCCCGGGGATTTATTCCCGCGGGTTTCGGGGAACTTATTTCCGCCGTATTTGTAATCTTGGGACTTATTCCCTTTACTTCCTCTAGCTGGGGTTGCGCAACCACAGCGAGATCCTCTACGAAAGACTCTCCAGTCGATCTAGGATTATCGTTTCGCTTAACCTGAGCGATCGATTGTTTCTCTTCTAGATGTTCCCCGCTAGGGATACATCTTTGTCCCAGTCCACCCGACTTATTCGAGTGGTGGACCTTCGGCGCAGCCTGTGTTTCCTCACAGCCGCCGGAACTTTGCTCCGAAGTGTAACCGTTTGATGCACTAAGGTTTTGTGCAGTCGTACTAACGACCGTACCACAAGTGAGGCCATCGCACTCACTCGTAGTACATCCACACGCTTGTGGACGCTCCAAAACGTTCATCAGATGGCCATCTGATGAACAAGCGGCAGGCATCGTTACTGTCCGATGTTGCCAGTTTACCCGTGGTTCGTACCTTCTGAGCCACGGTATTCCAAGGATGACATCAAATTTGTCATCCAAATCCAATACGATAAAGTCATCGTCATATTGGGTATCTTCTAGCGTATAGCGAATCTTCACTATACGCTTCATGACGGTTACGGATGCGCCTGTCGCAAGACGTACCGTCATCCTCGTAGGAGGTGTGTCACATTCACTGAATTTAAAGTGACCATCTTCTAGCGATTGGCGTTGCACAAAATTGTTGGACGCCCCACAATCGACTAGAGCTCGAAGGGACAACTTATTCGTCACTTCGAGTTTCAAGGTAATGAGTGAGACCTCATTACCTAGAGCAGCAACGCACAACGTTTGTGTGTTGGGAGCAACTTTCATCAAGAGGCCTACAAATTCTCTTGACGTTGCTAGACCAGTAGGGTGCTCCGCACCTACTGATCCTGTCCGTTTTTTGACGGTCCATCCCGTTGTTGCGTCTTTGCACCAACTGCGGACCCTCGTCCCTTCCCCTTTCTCATGGGTGGACGGTCACTACGCCCAGTGTCGCGAGACACTGGACGAGGGGCACTACACTCGTAAGCGTAGTGTCCTGTCTTTTGACATCTGTTGCATCTCTGCAACTTCTTGTAGCCTGTAGAGCGAGCCTTCTCGCTCTCTATATAACAGAGTTCCATCGGCTCTGGACCTCCGTTGTCATATCGTCTCGGTTGACGATATGATGTCGAGCTGGCGCGAGCCTGTCTCAGACTGAAGTCTTCCTGCTCCGCAATGGAAATGGCTTGTTCTAGTGAATCTAGTTCAAGCCGGAACAGGTGAGTCTTGACGGGACCATCCAACAAGACCCTGCATGAACACCGAAACCAACGTGTGTTCATCAACCGGGTTGGAACTTATACAACTCGTGAGATGTCGTATATGTTGAGCGTAAGCGTGCACATCACGCTTACCCTGTTTGAGCTTCAAGAGTTCGGTTCGAGCCCTGAACTCAGCTCTAGGCGGTTCAAACGTTTGTCTGAGCCGCGACTTGAAGACTTCCAACGACCCAAACGCATATGGGTCGTGCAACTTGAGCCCCAGTGCCCAAGTCTTGGCACGTCCTGCCAGATTTGACTGGGCAAATGCAACTTGCATATCCCCGTCGTCGATGCGACGCGCCCTTATGGCGTCATCCAATTCGACGAACCATCTCAAGAGGGAGTCTTCTTCGACCCCCCTATACTTGGAGATGTCAATCTTCAAAGTCTCGGGTCGACGCGAGTGCATACACCCACCAGCAGCAGCCTACAAGCTTCAGGGTGCCCTGTTACACCTGGTAGCACTTCGTAGTCCGTCCAAGGACCGCGTTCACATCCAACATGAATATGTTGGATGATGAAGATGACCAAAGCTTTCACGCTACGCGTGACGGCTACTCCCATTTGAGCGATGTCGAATGGGATGCGGTTGAACGAATGGGTTCGACCATGGGACACTCGTACGTGCAGAGGAAGACGGTAAGAAGAAGCGAGTACTTGGTTAAAGTAAAAGTAGAACTGTATTTATAATAGTTAATGTCTGCAATAAATCACTATTTATCCTCATCTAACTATGTCTGAATACAAATGTGTAAATCAGTTATCTGCTCACCACTCATTGCGTGCGTCTGTCGTGGCGCGTCTTCGTTGGTTGATATAATGGCCTATATCAACCAATTAGGAACTACTCGTAAGTGCTACAGAATATTTGTCCTTATGACAATATTCTGAGAATATAACTCTTATAGTTATATTCTATTAACAATTTCTTATAAATTGTTATGTAACGATTCACCCCGTTACAATGGGGGTTGCTGGAGCCAAGAAAAAGATTTAGGAATCAGAGGGTGTGTGGGCGAGTTGCAGCAAATACCAGGAACTTGCACCGGCACAATCTACTAAAGCAGCCAGGTTTTTACGGTTGAAATCCATTAAACCCCTTGACCGGCAAGTTTATCTTCCCCTCGATTGTTTGCTTTGGTCTAGCATTGACTTGAGAAATGAACGATTGGAAAGGTGCATGCCACAGAAACTTGATACTTTCAGATCAGGCACTTGCTGGGCTTTAGATTAGGCGAATTAGGCATAATTTCACAAAATGCCTAATCTACAAAGGGCTGACGATGACGCATCGGAAAGTAATTGTGCAGAGTGGAGCACACGAGAGCCCTTCTGCTGACTTCAGGAGATGAAACAAAACTGACTCAGGGCTCATGCAAGAATGAAGACATGGAGAAATAGCGCTGACTAGCATCTACATCATCAATACTGTGGCTTGGCGGACCGCAGATTTTATCATAGCTAGAACAACTTGTGGCATGTCTCGTTCTCCGCAGTGAGATCATTCACGGAGTCATACGCCTTCTCATGCGAGGCGAAGGACAAACGGGAAGTATATACGAGGCAGCTAAATGGACTTGGGTTGCCCACGCGTTTCGATCGTTTGTCCGTGTTTGTCTCGACGCGCACGACTCCTTCTACTCTTTCCGCTTAGCAATGTACGCCGCAATATCCTGTTGCAAGATCTCTCGATGGCGTTTGTCTCTGCGATCCTGTGATCCAGCCATCGACGATTTCGGCGAGACTGCCGCCGCTTGCTCAATGTCGTTTGGTTCTGTCTTGCTGGACTTCAGCACACTCAACGCCGCGTCAATCTTGCTCTCCCGAGCAGCTGACACCTCACTCAACTGATCAGTTTTCTCCTTCTGTGCAACACTCTTTGCTGCATCTGCTACTCCTGCATCTGTTGTGTGTCGACTCGCAAGTGCTTCCTCCTCCAGTCGCTGAAGCCGATCGCGCATCTCCTGAATAGCATTGGCAAGCACCAGGTCCTTATTCTGTCGCTCTTGAACCACACCAAGTTCAGTTTCCACCTCCTCAAGACGCATAGCCTCGTTCTCTCGCTCCATGCGCTTCTTTACTGAGTATAAGTATAGCCCCAGTACTGTGCCAGGTCCAAAGGCGAATAATCCGTACACAAACTTCCGTCTCGGAGACAGCAGATTGCTGAATCACACACAAACCATATGAAAGAATGATTAGCAACACGCAGTAAAATAGTCAGTTTAGCAGTCAGGGACCACGTACTTTAGTGCATCCGGAGGTGCGTTCGAGAGGAGCATCTTGATTCTGCTGGTCATGATGCTCGACGACGTCGGTTGAAAAGCCAAATGGCTGAATCGACACTAAATTCGTCTAAAGTTCGGAACGATGCCAACGCTTTTCACGCTCGATCATTCAATGTTTTTTCTTTTTCTGCTTTTTATCATTCTGCTTTATAGACAAAACAATGTGCTTCGTGACTACTACGGGCCTCCTCGACCTTTTCTCTCATTCTGTCTTCTGTTAATCTTCTTGCGCTCACTCACTAGCGACGTCGTTGCTGACAATAGACACTTTATTACCGCCGAGCTTGGGTTTTCAGTTTGCGCAACATACGTTGTTAGGTGATAGACTTTTTCTTGGTTACGCCACCACGAACCGCGATTGTGCGTCGAGACTTGAGAGACCTTGCATGTCAACGAACTGCTAGTGCTCCTTGTAGATGAACTCATTGGACACCCACTGGGCGCCCGAGCTGCCCGAGTTGACCACCTCCAGCGTCTTGTTGCGGATCTCGTCTGCCTTCAAGCGGCTGACGCCTCGCAGCCAAATCTCAAAGCGGTAGTTGTTGCCTGCGTCCTTCTTGTCCTTTTTGTTGTTCTGATGGGGGCAGACAGCCAGTAGCAATGACAGCAGAGACCATCAGGTACACACACACATGGATCCTTCCAGTAGAGCAGATCGAAGCACTACCTTGTGAATAACTCGAACACCCGTTACTTCGTTGCCCGGATCAATGAGCTCACCAACCGCTCCTAGCACGAGTTTCTCCCAAAACTCATCGAGCTCCTGAGCGCCCACATCTGACAATTGCGCAATTGTAAGCCATCAGACAACCAATCCAGTCGATGAACAACACGAACGATTAAACAGATAGCTAATAAATACAGTTGCAATGCCTGACCTTTTCGAATGGACCACTCGCCCCCGTTTTTGTTTTCGGGATCCTCCCACTCCGGTACGATACCGTCCTTGAAGACAGCAAAGCCTTCTACCGTTCGGTCTGCGAGTTTCTTGCGGGTGAAACCGTCGAACAGTACCTGACTACTCGGATTAAACCGGTAGACCGTAAAATCAGCATACATTTGATCCAATTAAATAATCGACCGAATTCAGGGCGAGAAGCTACGAATCCCTCGGACGACTGACTGGCTAGTTGACTCACCTGGGGGAGGGAATGTTGTTCCAGTAGCCCCAGAACTCCTCGACAGTACTGAAAGTGCATAGCTTGAACAGCTTGTCACCGTAGGACATGTTTTTCCCCTGCTCGCGCTGCTCCCATATCGCCCAGGGCTCGTTAAGTTCGTGCTTGTCTCCAGCCGCCATTGCGCGTCGATTTTATACTGTCTATATCCTGCTCGACGGATTCGTTCGGTCGTTTCGAGCGAATGTCATTGGTACAAAACAACGTGGAAGTGGAATCCACCAATCAAAAACTACTTTTGTTTGGAACGAGACTTGTGCAAATCAGATGACACAGCTTTACTCGCCGGTATACTGCGGTTTGCGTTTCTCCTTAAACGCCGTCAGACCTTCTATGCGGTCTTTCGTCGGGATCACCTGGGCATAGCAAGCGTTCTCAATGGCCAATCCAGTAGCAATGTCCACTTCAAAGCCCTTCATGATTGCTTCTTTTGCCATGCGAATGCCAACAGGTCCATTGGGCAGAATCTCACGAGCAATCTCCAGCGCTTTGTCATACGCCTTGTCTTCAGGTACGGCATAATCGACCAGTCCAATCTTCTCAGCAGCTTCGGAAGTCAGACGACGGCTGGTGAAGATGAGTTCCTTGGCTTTGGAGATCCCTAATCGGCATCAAGGTCAAGAAAACAAGACGTGAGTACTACCATTCAGCTCTTGATTGTTCGTGGCACGGCGTCCACCTTACCGATCAAGCGAGCTGCACGCTGGGTTCCACCAGCTCCGGGAAGAATTGCCAAGGACGTCTCGGGGAATCCAAGTACTGCCTTGGCTCCAGCAATGCGGAGGTCGCACGCCAGTGCCATCTCCATCCCTCCACCAAGAGCGGCTCCTTCAATGGCAGCAATTGTCGGCATAGGAAGTTTCTCTAGATCCGTGAACCCGGTGCGGTAGCCACGGGAACTTGCAGCAGCCTACATAGGAAACCATACGCAAGACATAGCCGGTTAAGTATACATCCACTCGGATATCCATCACCTCGAACCAAAGTCACCTCGGAGGGCGTCATCCTCAGACGCTCTTTCAGATCTGCACCCGCACAAAATACTCTGGGAACAGCACTACGAACGACCACCACGCGGACAGACGAATCAAAGCGGACTTGCTCGAGTGCTTGGCGGAACTCGGCCATAAACTGGCGACCTAAGGCATTGCGTGCGTCCGGGCGGTCCATTGTAAAGACTGCAATGCCTGCATCGTTGCCGTCCAGCATTTCTACATGAAACTGCGTCGTCTTTGCGACTGCATGTAGCCTGCGTGGCTGCAGCACACAACGGGACAGTCGTCTACCTATCGGCGCGCGCGTGAGGACAGTCAGCATCTGATATTAGAAATCGAAATGAGCCCAACTGCACATACGCAGATAGGTATACACCGGTGATGCTCCGCTACAGTGTACCAGTTTACGTACCGATGGTGGTGATTTGAAGTACCATTTTTTACGGGCTGGTATACCGTGTGCTGACATACCGGTTTGCTCTTATGTTGCGCGGAGCGGCTTTGATCCAACGACTGGCTGGCGGCTGCTGATCGCCGGGTGTCGTAACCCATTTAGCAAAATCGCATCAGGATGGGAGCCTACAAGTACTTGGAAGAGCTGTGGAAGCGTAAACAGTCGGATGTGCTGCGCTTTTTGCTGCGTGTGCGTGCGTGGGAGTACCGTCAGCTGCCGGTGATCCACCGCGTGAATGGTCCCACCCGCGTGGACAAGGCTCGTCGTCTTGGCTACAAAGCTAAGCAGGGCTACGTGATCGTACGTGTGGCTGTGCGTCGTGGTGGCCGTAAGCGCCCGAACTCCAAGGGTATTGTCTACGGTAAGCCCAAGCACCACGGTATCAACGAGCTCAAGTTCGAACGCAACCTGCGCTCGGTGGCTGAAGAGCGTGCGGGCAACAAGTTCACGAACTTGCGTGTGCTCAACTCGTACTGGGTGAACCAGGACGCGACGTACAAGTACTTTGAGATCATTATGGTGGACCACTCGCACAAGGTCATTCGTCGTGACCCGCGCATCAACTGGATCGTCAATGCGGTGCACAAGGGACGCCAGCAGCGTGGGCTTACGTCGGCCGGTCGCCAAGGCCGTGGTCTGCGCAAACGCGGCCATCGCGCCAACAAGATCATTGGGTCCTCGTTCCGCCAGAACTGGAAGCGTCGCAACACGCTGTCGCTGCGTCGCTACCGTTCGTAGATGTCGTCTTTGCTCTCTGTACTCAGATAGTCTCGCTGCATTCGTTTGGCTTTCGAGTGCGTTAACAACACGTTGAGTACATGCGACTTTTGCTGCCAAGACCTTGATTTGCCCTGCTGCTTACCTTCTTTTGCAAATGCCACGTGGACCTTGTTGTGTATACGCATAATCCTGGATCGACAGCAGGACGCGCTTCTTGAACGTGCACGCTGATGCAAGCAATTAAAAAGCAGAGTGTATACTGACGTTATCTCGGGGTTTACTTGCCCTTGGGCCGTAGATCTTCGATCGTCTGGCGGATCTGCTCCTCCCGCTTCTTCTTGTGCAGCTCAAAGCGTTCGGCCACGTCGGGTACATCAAACAGGCTCTTGAAACGCTGGGGCATGGCGTCAACGAGGCCCGTGCCAAAGAGTCCCCACTTGCGGTTGAAATCGTCCAGTAGCTCTGGGTGCATCGCGCGGACGCTGGCGTCAGCAAACTCCTGCGGGTGCTGAAAACGGACGTATGCCAGCATGGACACGGCAGCGACTGTCGTGCCCGTGACGGCCGACAGCGCGACCGCAGCGACAGGGAGACGCGGCCGAGGTGTCATTGGATAGATGGGTGGGGAAGTGGTAAAAGATGAACTGGGAAGGTGACACTTGCGTCGGGACGCTGGTTGGAAGCGATGTTAACTCGTTGGTATAAATAGACGAGACGGAAGATTGGCTGAAAGTATACGAGTCGAATCGAGCTCGTTTTTTCAATGCAAAACATGAGCGACGTCTATAGTTGCTGCCGATGCGTCAGCTTTTGTGAGGAAATGGTACGGGGTCCTTTGCCTTTTGTGCAGATCGATGCAGTGAGAAATAACGACGATAGTAGCGTTTGTATACTGACTCTTTTGTCTGCAGAATGCCGGGTATCGCAAGACGATGGAAGACACGATTCGGATCGTGGACGGATATTTACAAGACCCACGGAACGGATACTTTGCGATCCATGATGGCCACGGGGGTACTAGAATACGTTGCGATGCAACGCTTACTTGTCTGGATCAAATCGGAAAGTAGAAATGATATTGGGTCCGACTAAGAGAGATGCTCGTCCGTGTTTGCTGTAGGTCGTTCCGTCTCGACGTACTTACAACGAGTGCTGCATGAAAACATTGCAACAGAGTTGCAACTGAAAGATGATGGTAGTACTGTGGAGCAGCGACTTGAACGGTACGTGATGCTTTTTTCACTACTGATGTCAGTCAGAAGATCGTGAGGTGAGAGTGAGAGGGCCTGAGTGCTTTGTTGCAAGTGGTTACTTAATGTCAGACATGGAGTGCTGCCAGGGGTCAGTGGGCTCTACAGCAGTCAGTGCATTGGTTCTGGAGGATGGTGGTATCAAAACGCTCTACGTCGCCAATGTTGGCGATAGGTACGGCAACTTGCAACATGAGATTGGGGGGCGTAGTGTTAACGCGTGTGGTAACTCGTAGCCGCGCCGTGGTTAGCTTCAAAGGAAAAGCGATTCGGCTTTCGAAGGTAGAAAACATTCCTAGTGCGCAACGAGGCTTGTAGTCAATTTACGAGCTGATAGTCGCGTGCTGTATCCAGGACCATAAGGCCAGTGATCAGACTGAAGTAAAGCGGATTGTTCAACGAGGCGGCTTTATTGTGCACCATCGAGTGTCTGGATTGTTAGCAGTCTCCCGGTACTAGCGTTTCTAGCTCAGACTCACGCAGATGTAGTGTAGCATTCTAACATGGCACTGTCGCTTGCAGGAGCTTTGGAGATTGGGATCTCAAGCAGTTTGTGGTGGCACGACCGTACACCAGCGCGACACGGTAAAGATTGTTCGTAACTAACTCGAGTTTCACTATCGCGTGTTACACTTATCCTTGAAACCTTTCTCAGGCTTGAGCCGGCAAGCGACTATGCGTTCTTCATACTGGGATGCGATGGTGTTTGGGACGTTCTGAGTGACCAAGAAGCTGTAGACATGGTGAGTTCGCTACCCATCTCGCAGCAGTCTCAAGCCGCGCAAGTTCTTGTCCACGAGGCTCTTTCAAGGGGGAGCGAGGACAATGTCACAGCGATAGTTGCATTTCTTTGAATTACATCTACTTCGACGAGAAACTTTGCAGAGGAAGCAGACAGTGCTCTATACTGTTAGCAGAAAGATGCAACATGACCAAGATCGAGATCGGCACCGCAGAAAGTAGGAGGAGAGCTGTAGCATCCACTTGAAAGTAGTGGAAGGGCCTGACTCTGGAGTTCTATTGACACTCTTTTTCTTTTACTAACTCAGGCGATTCAAACCGCTGCTCACCTCACTTGCACTAATCTTAGCCAAGGAAGGCTCCAGGGCCGAAAGTTCCAACGAAAACTCGATCCAGCGTTCTTGTCATCCCTCTACGAATTCGGTCTAATGTTCGGTCATTACTTTTCTGATCGTCTGAGAACCCCGATGCAAGTTCTGGTCGTTAGGGATGAGAACTGCCGAATTGGGATGACACACGTACCCTATGCCCTGGGATCGTTGATCCACTGTCATGAGCATGCAGCAACGATTCGCGAGACATGACAAAGACATTGACCGAGTCAATGCGGCTGTTGAGACGTACACTTTGCAACTTTGTGCCGCCAGCAACAAGTGTTCTGGGAAACCGGTCCAGGCAAAGGAAACAACAAGAGCAGCGTCTCGCGTTTCATTTTGTGGTCTACTGGAAAATGTCGCACGAGCTCTCAAGTGCCTTGCATCAACTGTTTGCTCGAACTTTGTGCAAAACAACACCATTATTTCTGATGTTAGTTAAGCTTCATTAGCCATCTGCAAGTACTGGGTGCCTCAGATACATTCTGAACGTCGTGAGTCCTCTCCGTCATTCAAAAATCCCCTTGCCAAACGACGCTCTTGTACAAGTCGCCATGTTGCCGCGTTGAAACGATATCGTTACCGATCAAACTCCAGAGCAAACATGCCACGAGCTCGCAGATTACCAGCGACAGACGTCATTTCAGATGTGCTGTAGGCCATCAATGTTAATGATACAGTCCTCGCTTATGTCACAAATGCTGGAGCGTACACTGCCGCCACCAGATCTAAAAGCACAAGCTAAACCCGGGAGCAAACCCACCATCAAGCAAGAAAGTATCGTACAATCTTCCACGCACACGTTCAAAAGTTCCGGCAGTTGACCACCACCGTGGTTATCCTGGATTGGCGTACGAACTCGCAGTCATTTCATACTTCCGAATACACTGATCGACAAGCTCCTGCATACGCATGGAACAGTTTACACCGAACACGAAACGGTTTCTCATGCTTATCCTGCTTTTTATCGATATGACGATCCCACGCCTTGTTTATACTCGACCCGACGTCATACATAAAACAAAACAGGTCACATCGTCATCGCATTTGCCAACTTATGCCCTCACTCGGGAGTGAAAGTCATGGAAGGCGCGAGCTCCTCCTGATCAGCATCACCCGAACCGTACTTATCGTTCGTGGTGAACGTGCTCTTGCCCATATTTGAGCGCACTTTTCATCGTGCAGTGGCGTCTTATGGGCCGGGACGCAACGGTTCTGCTGTACCCCGCACTTGTGGGAGACGCCGAATAGACTTCGTCACTGTTTATTGGCTACCCAGAGATCTCTGCAGCCAAGAGCGAAGAAGAAGCACCGACTGACAGCTCGCTATGCCGCGCCTGTGAATCTTGGCGCACGCGTCACCCACCACTACTTTAAAGGCACAGAGGAGATGACGAGCGTCAAGTGGTTTGCAGAGACCAACAACGCAGATAGGAGCGTCTAATGCGCGTGGCGCAATTCTGTGTCGTGGAATTGAGCGGCACCAAACATGTGCTGGTCAGACTACCGCTGTATGAATAGGTGAGTGCTTCTAGTAGGAGGAAGCTGATGGGTCGTGAGCATCGGTAAACGTACTACATGTAAAACGCAGGATGTAACGGGGTGAATCGTTACATAACAAATTATAAGAAATTGTTGACAGAATATAACTATAAGAGTTATATTCTCAGAATATTGTCACAAGGACAAGTATTCTGTAGCACTTACGAGTAGTTCCTAATTGGTTGATATGGGCCATTATATCAACCAACGAAGACGCGCCACGACAGACGCACGCAATGAGTGGTGAGCAGATAGTTGATATGCACATTTGTATTCAGACATAGTTAGATGAGGATAAATAGTGATTTATTAACAGACATTAACTATGATAAATACAGTTCTATTTTTCACTTAAACTAAGTACTCGCTTCTTCTACCGTCTTCCTCTGCACGTACGAGTGTACGTGAAGTTCCGAGGCGCCGCCTTATTCTGTCATCAGAATAAGTAGCTTGTACTGTTACCAGTACAAGCTTCAGGGTGCCCCGTTACACCTGGTAGCACTTCGTAGTCCGTCCAAGGACCACGTTCACATCTAACATGAATATGTTAGATGATGAAGATGACCAAAGCTTTCACGCTACGCGTGACGGCTACTCCCATTTGAGCGATGTCGAATGGGATGCGGTTGAACGGATGAGTTCAACCATGGGCCATCATGCTGTTAGCGTCATGCTAGAGGCTCTCAATAGAGATGCCCAACATGCTACTATCGCCAAGTTCATTCAAAATGAACTTGACGCAGAACGCGAGAAAGTAGCCTTGCTTCACCAACAAGGTTCTCAGCAAGCAGAGTTGTTGAGAGAACAGGGTGCTCAACAGTTTGAACTGTTGAGACAGCAGCAGGCTGCTGCTGGTGGGTCGATGCACTCGCGTCGACCCGATACCTTGAAGATTGACATCTCCAAGTATTGGGGAGTCGAAGAGGACTCCCTCTTGAGAAGGTTCGTCGAATCTGATGACGCCATAAGGGCGCGTCGCATCGACGACGGGGATATGCAAGTCGCATTTGCCCAGTCAAATCTGGCAGGACGTGCCAAGACTTGGGCTTTGGGGCTCAAGTTGCACGACCCATATGCGTTTGGGTCGTTGGAAGTCTTCAAGTCGCGGCTC